ATAATATATATATATATATATATATATATATATATATATATATATATATATATATATATGTTAATGAAAAAAAAATATAGTTAATAGTTTAATTTATTTCCTAATGAAATCAATAATTCTTTTCGAAAATTTAAATTTTATTCTAAAATAATACAAATAATTGGGTATAATTATATTTTGTAGGACTCAGAAGTAATGACGAAAATTCAACGAATACGAAACCGAATCAAACTGCCGGTGCAAAGCAGTTAAAAAAAGAAATTACTAAAAAGCAGAATGAGGGTATGTAAAAATTTTCCTGATAGTTTTAATTAATAGAATTTATTTTAGTTTCTAAATTTGTAAAAGAAAGAAAATAAAAATAAAATTTGTTAAAATTTATTGTTGGAATTATTTATCTCCAAAAATTGAATTTTTTTTTGAATGATAATCAGAATGGTACAATTATTGTTTATTTGTATTTTATTAATATTCATGATATTCCATTATTTATATAACTTTTTAATTTCATATTTACTTACTTTATTTGCTTCTTCTTTTTTTTGCTTAATTTTTTTTACAAGGAAATTACTCAAAATTTGAAATTACATCATTAATGATAACATAAAATAAAATTGTTTGATAATATTTCATTTTTTATTATTACTATTATATTTTCCCTCATCGTTATTAGCATTGTTTGTAATTATCAATCAAAAATTGCTGTAATTAAATGGATCGATTAATCAATTTATTTAATCAAATATTCCAAATAGATATTTTGTATCGAAATATCACAAAATCATTAACAACATTTTGAAAAAAAAAAAGCTAAAAAATCAATAAAATGTTGATTATCTGATTAGAAAAATGAAGCAGAAATTTTTCTGAGAAGAAAAAAGCGAAAGAAATGTCTGAAAAAATTAAAAAAAAAATTGAAGATAAAACATTAAAAAGATAAAACAATTAATGATAAAATATATCATTTATCAATCTTTTTTGTCATTTTTTATCTCTCCAAGATAAAAAAATATTAAAAAGATAAAATAATTGATAATAAAATATGTCATTTATCAATCTGTTTTATCATTTTTTATCTCTCCCCTTTGTTTGACTATTTTTTTTTTTTTTAATCATTTGACATAGATAAATTTGTTAAATTATATTTACAAACAATTATCATTATCTATCTATTCCAATTTGTAATTAATTATTTTATTAAATTAATTATAATCATAACTAATACTTTTTATTTTATCACTATTATTACTTTATTTCAGAAAATAATAATCATAATACAATGGAATCAGGCAAATGTGCGAATACATTGAATGGATGTACGCGCAAAAGTACTGATGGTAATAATTTATTAAATGATATAACCGTTACAGGAGGAGTACAAGCAATGATATCATTACAGCGTACTGATAGCGTTTTAAGTAATGAATCAGTAACATCATCACAGGTAAGTTATTTAACTTTTTATATTTTATAATTTACAAAATTCTTTTTTTCTACAATATGTAATAATTAAGTTTTATCAGTCATTTTAACTTATAAAAAAAAAACAAATCATTTATTTAAATTTAATTTAATTCTAATTTAATTTTGTTTAAATTTAATTTGAATTTTTTGATTCGAAGTTACAATTTCTTTTTCTTTCTTTTATTATTATCTTTTGTCTATTTTCCTTTTCTTCCATTTAATTTATTTCATACATTCAAAAGTCTTTTTCTTTTTTTTTTAAATTATTGTTGCTCTCTTAAATATTGAAATAAAATTTTGCAAAATAATTTAATTATTAATCCAATTTAACAATCATTTATTCATAAAATCTAGCTTAAATAATTCATCAAATTTTATATAAATTACTAAATAATTTAGAAATGAATTTGTTTAAAATAACTAAAATATAATTTTAAATTAATCAATGTACCAATTCTTTTATCATTTCAAGTTATTTTTATTTTAGTTATAAATAGTTTTAATTGAAATATTTGCACTTAAATGTTCTGTTTAAACATCTAAATTTAAACAACGTTGACACTAAATTGACACAGATACAAACACAAACACAGACAGACAGACGGACAGACGTACACACACACACACACACACATTTTTTATCTCATTTATTATTTTTAATTTCCAATATTATCTGGAAAATTTCAATTGCTTTGTATTTTTTTAAATTTTACAGTGCTCAAAGTTTTACGCTATCAATAAGTTAATAATGAATTTAAAATTTAAAAACTTTTACATTTTTTCAAATTTCTGCCAAATTTTTGCTTATCGATTAATATAGTTATCTATTCTTTTTACCAATTTTAATGGGATGATTTCATACGATTTTAATCCCTGTAAATTTGAATTAATGGCACAAATATTTAATAATTATAAAATTTGATACAATTAATCAAAAATGTTTGAATTTAGAAAAAAGAAATAAAATTAAAAATATAATTCTATTGGATAATTTGAATGCGAAATTTTGAAATATCCAAAAAATTGATATATTCTAAGGAATGAAAATATTATCTTCTCATGTCACTATCATCTTTTTATTATTGTTTTCTTTTTTTTTTTTTTTCCTATAATTATTCAATATCTAATTATACATATTAATGGGTTATTAATTAAAATGTTTTGTAATTTTTTGATTCCAATTATATAAAAAATATTATGGCTGTTACGATCCGTCAGAATATAAATATTAAATACTAATCAATATTTTTACTCTTATTCATTTTTGCAACCATCAATGATTTATAATTTTCAATCATCTTTTTTTC